TACAAAGGCTATAGCCTTTGTGTTTTTAGCGAAAATTGATGGGTCCGGATTTCGACGGAAAAGTAGTCGATTCGACAGGGGTGACCCAGGGGACCGCAAAACTACTTTTGGTTCCGTCAGAAACCACCCCTGTCCAGAGACACTTGAGTTTTAAGGGGTGGTCTTTTGAATCTGGCGGGCGACCCGTGAGCAGGTCCTACAAAAACAGGCGTAACTCACTTAAAATGGCCCGGCGGCGTAAAATTTCAAGGGAGAGATTGAAAGAGGATGCTGTCGGGCTAATCCCGACCATTTCCAGCGATTTTCAATTTTTTCAATTTTGGCCAAATTTACAAAGACTATAGCCTTTGTGTTTTTAGCGAAAATTGATGGGTCCGGATTTCGACGGAACAGTAGTCAAATCAACAAGGTGGCCCAGGGGACCACAAAACTACCCTTGGTTCTGTTAGAAACCACCCCCTTCCAGAGAAACTTGAGTTTTAAGGGAGGTCTTTTGAATCTGGCGGGCAGCGTACGATGGGCTGCCTACCTCGCAGGCGAACCGGTCCAAAAACAGGCGTATCTCAATTAAAATGGCCCAGCGGCGTGAAATTTCGACGCAGAGATTGAAAGGACCAATCCCAACTATTTCCAGCAATTTTAAAAAATTTCATTTTTGGCCAAATTTACAAAGGTAGGGGTCCGGTTTTTGACGGAGGAGTACATCAATAGATAGGGGAGAACCAGGGACCACAAAATTACCTTTGCTTTTGTCAGAAATCACTCCTGTTCACAGAAACTTGAGTTTGAAGAGCTGGTCTCTCTAACTAAGGGCGGGTAGGCTACCTAAGGGGCACTGGCTAAGAACTCTGCTGTGGTGGGTAGGCACCTTGATATTTAGACAGAGCATGTGAAAAGGGAGCTTGCCCCATCAATCCAAACCAATTCCTGCAATTTCCCAAATTGGCAAGATTTTTAAAAGACATTTTCAGTGATAACAAATCAGCCTGAATTGACAGAGGAGGGTTGAAAGCAACAACAAAGAACCAAGGCACCACAAAAAACATCAAAAACCACCCTTTGATGCACATGAAAGGAAGCTCCTCTTAGTGGAGACAAATTGGACCAGCGTTGGCGGTTACTGTCATGTCAACTCACCTATTCTTTTGGGTAAAATGACTCCATAGACTTCTCTTGCTCATGTCAAGAACATTTCTGGGCAGAGTTCCTGCAATCATATTAAACAGTACTTTTAGCGCTCATCAACTTTTAATTACATATAATTAACTCATACAGTACACTTTTAAATGCCTCTCCCCCCATGCGTCTCTAAATGACTATGGTCTTTCAAATAACTAATTTTGGTACTGGATTAAACGTTAAGTACGAAGGGGCAGCTGCAAATTATCTGCAACGCGGATTATTGATTGATTGTTTAGGGGATTACGCAAATAGTACCACTCGGTTTGCACCCCAATCAGAAAGTAATAAAGATTTCTGTTCCACGAGAATAAAATAGAGTAAAATATATGATATGAGATAAAACACTGGCAGGTTCACCCATTTGCATAAGGACCTACAACAGTATTTAACATACTGCATGGATTGGAGGAGTCTACCCATTCAACACTTTTTCAACAATTAAGCTGACAGTGAGCCAAGTTATTTACATCACGGGCATCATTTACTCGGCCTCAACAAATAACTTACAACTTAATTGTGCGTGTAAAAAATTGAGCCACAGGAGCATAACCTCCTACAACAATAACCGGAATGGAACAATTCAATATTCCGGACCGGAAACAAGCAAGCACTATACCTTGCGATTAATAACGAAAAGCGGCGATGTCCACTCTACAATTCTGGTTAAAATCCTATGATCATTAATTATATGAGTAGTTATTATCGATATTTGGCAGAAACGCCGAGTTTCACTGTTTGTTTACGTTTCCATAAAGGCAAGGCGCGGGAAATGCGCGGTGGGGGTGGGGAGGAGGAGAGGGGTAGGGGACGCGGCACGGCAAAGGGGGAGAGCAATAATTACGGCATACTCACCGACATATCGTGGTCGCGGGATGTGATTCTTTCCTGGG